GGAGTTGATCATTTGTACCCAGTTGAGCCACCCTATCTGATGCCACGTGGAGCAGGGTTGAGCTGTCCCTGCCTGATCCTGTCCCAGTTGAGACTCATGAGCAATATAAATGATTCATTTTAAGCCACTAAATTTTGGGCTGGTTTGTTACCCAGCAACAGATAACCAGACCACTTGGGATCTCTCTTAAAACTTGGATCTTCCTCACCTCACGCCAGTGGGATGGGGATGTGAAGGGGGGAGAGCTTCACTGAATGCTAACACAGCACACCTGGATGGTGGGCCTCTAGTGCCTGTAGGACCAGAGAACACAATACCGAAAGGTGTGTGACCACAAGGGTATTTCTATGATTTTCGTATCAACTCTCAGTTCTTGAGAAAATCAGAAGAGCCAGACCAGCCTTTTCCCTTGAGTGCCTGGTCAGTCCTGGCCTTGCAGTTCCACTTTCACATTCTCCCTGGGTCAGTTCATCGTTTCAGCTCTTGCTTGCTGTGGAATGTGATAACCCTTTTGCTGGTACTTGATTTTCTAGTACCTTTTTCTTAAAAGCTCCATAGGGTGGTTTTTTTTTTTTTTTTTTAACTCAATGAAACTGGAAATGAATTTTGGTACACTCTTATCCCTTTGCCAAACCTGAGAGCCCGAGACAGCCTCCTCCTTGGTGTCATGACTTCAAGTCCTTCACCTCCCTCTGTCCTGCCCTCCTTTCCTCTAATCAATCACTAGAACTTTTGGCTAAATAACATGCATTTAAAATGATTCTTAAGTGGAGAAATAACAGAGAAATTAGCAGCATCCCTTATCTGGCTCTGAGCAGAGCAATGAGTTGTTGAGTTTTTTGTTCCTGCAGCAGCTGGACTTCAGCTTGCCAACCGCAGCTGGGAAGGGTCACACCTGCTGATTTAACCTCTGTCTTCCTGGGCATCTTGGACAGGAGTTTTGAGTTGAGTGGAGCAAGTGCTCACGTGTGCAGTCATACGTTGTAACGTCAAGTCCAGAGCTCTGGTCATGGAACAGATTTCTGCATGCTGCTTGTAAGAGGAAATCCCTTGGTTTAGGGGCAGCCAGGGCTTCCTTAGCTTTGATCTTTGGGAGTAAGCTTCTGCTTGACGACTTCTTTCTTTCTCTACCCCTTTGTCTCTGTCTCATAGAGCAAATTTGAAGTGTCCTGTTTGCTTTTAACCGCTGGAAAGCAGATCCCCCCACCCCCGGACGAAGTATCAGTGACAGTGCGGCTTCACTTTGATCAGAGCATGCAGCGCTACCTGAAGGAGTTCGCATGGTCTGTGGCTCAGGGATTGCGTTCCTAGAGACAGGAAGCGCACTTAGGTGAGGTCACAATTGCAGGCTGAGAAACTTGATCAGGGATGTGTGTGGATGTTGCTCTTTGGCCTCTTTCTGCCCTTCCTTCTTTTGTTTGTCTCCAGCATCTCTCCTCCTTCTGAGGTGTGTGAGAATTTAATCCTTGGCTCCTGCCAGAGCAGGGTGCTGACTCAGTGTTTGAATCACTGAATCTGAATCTGGCTGGCTTCCTGTTGGCTCACGCTCCCGTGCTCCCTCTCCATAGCTGTGGCTACAAGAGCTCCCCCCTCGCATATTCCCCACTCAGCCTCTTCTGAAAAGCCTGCCCTGGCCAGGCGACAGCTTATCTTCCCTTCCTCCTCAATCCAAGTCCTTTCCCTACTCCCATAGCTGGAGATCAACGCAGACTTTTTTCCAAGTAGCAAACTCCAACTCTCACCCTGCATCTAATGTCAGTTTTGAAAATGTAGATTCTGCCCAAAGGCTGGTGGTCAGGCTGGCCCCGCTCCCCAATCCTACCAGCTGCACTGGCTCTGGGTCAGGAGGTGGCAGGAGAGGGGATAAGGTGCAGGGAGGATATGAATACAGCTGAAAGAAAATCCTGGGTTTCTTTCTCCAAGTAATTTAGACCATTATTAGGTTGCACATAAGGGCCTACATTTATTATTTCTTATCCTAAGCCAGTGTTTCCCAACCTTCCCCCCGCCGTTATTGTTCCTCTAAGGAGAAAAATTAAATTTCACTTCTAAAGAGAGAGACAAAAGACCAAGGAACAAGATTTTGTGGGGCAGGGTTGAGCTTTGGTGGTGCCCTGAACCACTGCAGTAGCTAAGATTTTTTCCACTCCTTCTCCCAAGAACCAGCTTTTGTCCACTGACAGACTTGCTCTGAGGACTTCATGTTTTGGAATAAGAGAACCTCCTTTTGAACCAGGCATCTCACCGGATGGTTTATTCTATTTGGTTGTCCCAGTAACCTTGCCAGGTCAGTTCTTTTCACCTCCATCGCACAGACAGGCGGTCGAAGCTCAGAGGAGTTGAGTGACTTGCTCAGGCCACCTGACCATTAACCAGAGGAGCCAGGATTCAAGTCTGGGTGTGGAAACAAGTGCACTGCCTTGACTCTTCTCTTTAGATATAATTTATACACTGTGAAGTCCTCCCTTCTAAAGGATACATACAGTTCATTTAGTTCAGTAGTTTTGGGTATACTCACAAGGTTGTGCAACCATCACCAATATCTAATTCCAGAACATTTTCATTACAACCCCCCCCCAAAAAAAATTCATGTGCCCATCAGCAGTCAGTCCCTGCCCCTGCAACCACTCACCTGCTTTCTAACTATAGATTTGCCTGTTTAAATGTTCTGTGTAAGCAGACTCCTATGTGACCTCTAGTTACGGGCTTCTTGGAGTGGTATACTCCAGGTGCCTTTGTGCTGTAGAGGTGTGAGGCTTCATTCTTTCCATGGCTGCCTGATACTCCATAGCATGCTTTGTGCATTTGGTTTATCTCTTCACCTGTGGAAGGACCTTTGGATTGCTTCTGCTTTTGCTATTAGAGATAATGCAGCTGGGAACATCTGTGCACAAGTGTTTTTGTGTGGGCATGTTTTTTAATCTCTTAGATATACACTTGGGGGTGGAATTGCTGGATCTTGTAGTCACTCTGCATTTAACCTTTTCAGGAACTCACACCCTTCCCAAGTGCTGCACTACTTGACATTTCCACTAGCAGTGGGTCAGAGTTCCCGCTTCTCCTCATCCTCGGCACTTGTTACGGTTTATGTGTTTTTTCTTATAGTCACACTGGTGGTTTGAAGGTGGTATCTCATTGTGATTTTGGTTTGCCTTTCCTTAATGACACTGGAGCATCTTTTCATGTGCTTATTGGCATTTGTGTGCTTTCTTTGGAGAAATGTCAGTTCAAGTCCTTTGCCATTTTAAAATTAGATTGTCTCTTTATTGTTGAGTTGTAGGAATTCTTAGGTGACTCACAAATATTTTTTCCTATTTTTCTATGTTTTTCACTTTTTTGATAATGTCCTTTGAAGGACAAAAATGATTGAAGTTCATTTTATTGTTTTATTTTGTTGCTTGGACTTTGGGGATCATATCGAAGAAACCATTGTCTGTCAAAGGTTCTGACAATTCCCGCCTGTTTTTTCCTGAGAATTTTGTAGTTTTAGCTCCTAAATTGAGGTCTTTGATCTGGTTTGATAGTTTTCCATCCCTGGTGTAGGTAGGCCCATCTTCATTCCTCTGCAAGTGGATACCCTGTTGTACCAGCAGCGTTTGTACCAGAAGCTTGAAAAGACTTATTTTCCCACTGAATCATCTTGGTGCCCTTGTCTAAAATCAGCTTTCACACGTAGGTGATTTTATTTCTGTGCTCTCAGTTCTGTTCCGCTGCTCTCTGCATCTTTCCTCAAGCCAGCTGGGCCTCGACTTTTGGAGCCCAAGTTTCCTGGGTAGTAGGTCCTCTCAGGGCAGACGGGGATTGACTTGTGGGAGTCCCTCTCATTTCTGGAGGTTGGAATTTATCCTAGCGCTTGGTCTGGCATTATCTGGACAGTCCTTCAGTACTTTTAAGGTGATATTTTATTCATTTAATCCAGCATTTTTTCCTAGTTTTCATTAGGAGTTCTAAAAATCATAGCCCACCCACCTTAAAAAATGGAACTCACAATGATCTGTCTCTGGTTATGAATTTGGGGCAGTATATCCCTGACAAGACGATTTTGGAGAGTAGGGGATCATTCATGGCATCTTAGAAGGAAACTAGGATGCTCACTAGTGCCTTTGGAGCCAGGTGCTCACTAACAGAAGCAGCGTTCATTGATTGAGCACTTCCCTCAGCCCCAAGCTTGGAGGCCTTGTGTATGCTGGTTAATCTCAGGAACACTAGAAGCCTATGAGATGGTAGGTATTGGGGTTGTTTTACAAAGGAGGGAGCTGGGAAGTGCTGAGGCTTGTCTTGGGGCAGGTGGGGGGGGGTTTGACTCAGGGCCGGCCCCTCCCTCCAACAGGCGCCCTCTTCACTGGAAACCCTCAGAGAGATTGTAGGTATTCCATGGCCCAGTGCCAGATTCTTTTGGAAACACTTGTGTTGGGAATGTGAACTGTCTGTGGAGGGCCTGATGGTCATTCCCATGTGTATATGCTGCAGGAATCATGGGGCAGCCTTTTGAACAATCCTGATTCTTGAGCGTCAACTCCGGAGTCTAAAGTAGTAGGTAGGGAGCCTTGGTCAGGAACTGGAGGTTCTGGCATGTTCCCAGGTAGGTCTATTGCACTTGGCCTTGGGCCACACTTGGAGAAGAGCCGGTCGACAGGTTGCATGTTAAACCGCTGGGTGCTGTGGACTGGCTGTTATCACCTATACCCAGTCACTAAAGGACAGTTTTTTCATATTCTGGGGAATGGTCCTTCCCCTTCAGTTCCTGAAAGCAGCTGAGACCTCAGTTACTTTTAAAGGAGAAAGCTATATTCATGTTTTGTAAGCTCTGTTGTCTGGTAGAAATGAGAATATTTGCAAAATGTTGATGTTAATAAAATGCAATGTCCAGTAATTTGCTAAACCTGACTGTAATTTAGTGGTGAGGAGCCTAAAGGGAAGAATGTGGTGTCTGGCCATTTTAGAAATGAAAAAGCTCAACTTCTCTTTTCCATCCTCCCCTCTCACCTGCTTCCTCCCAGATCGTGAAGTGGTCTGACTGCTGCTTGCCGTTAGCCTGCAGACCTGGGGATCCCTACCAGCTAATTGCTGAAGCAAGTGTGGACAACTTCAGCAAGCTGGGAGTGGCATTCATGGAAGACAGACTCCAGATGGATAATGGACTGGTGCCCCAAAAGATCGTCTGTACGTAACTTTAGGAAATGTTTCCGTCCTGTGGCGGAACGTCCTAGGTTGTCAGCTTATGGACTCTGAGTGCTGCTGTTGGTGTAACTTAGGGCAGTGCTTGGTTTTAGTTTGATTCAGAAAACTGATTTGATTTAACGAGGAAAGTATATGATTCACACAGGTGTTGAGGTTTTTTGGGGTCGGGGGATGTATCTTTAGTGTTTAATTAAAAACCAGGGTTTTTCATAATTGTAATATCTGTGACATAGCATCCATATTGGATGACTTATAGTGTTTATTTTACATAACATAACACAATATAATGGTTCTCACCTATAGTTCTGACTGAAAGAGATTAATAGCCAGTTGTACCATGAAGTTCTAAATCTAATGGCTTTTTACTTAAATATGCATTTCACAGTTTTGGACAGGTCTTTTTTCAGGAAGCACATGACCTGCTTTCCTTAGGCTTGTGTGTGGGCTTGCTGTCTGTGACGCTTTCATTTGTTTCAGGGGCAAGTAAGTGCCACTTATTGGCTCTGGAAATCTGATTTACCATGCACACGTGCCTAATATCGTGTCCCATGTGCAGAAAGCGCTAAATACCTGTTTTTTTGGATTAGTTATTGTAAGCTTATGTTGCACTGGATAGACCTTTTCCCAGATCCTCTGAAGTGTCCTGTGCATGACTCCTCCTGGGGCATGCTTGGGTAGGGTCCGTGAATGTGTCCTTTTTATTCCTCAGTTTCAGTGTCATGTAGGAGAATAACAGCCTAGCCTAGTTGAATCTCTAATAGGCAAAATCTCCTCTCTTAATCTCACCTTCTTCACCAGTCAAGAAGATGATCTGGGTTCTGATTTGAGTAGGAAGGATGTGGAAGTCAGGAATTTCACTGGGGGTCTTCAGGAGCACCCTTCCAGCTGGTGGCAGCGATTGTGTGGCTCCCAGGGATGCCCAGAGTTGAGGTGGGGATGTGAGTGGGAGCTGTGCGGGTGGCTCTGCCGGAACATAGGTGGCAGAATGTGGAGAGCTGGTGAGGTTCTTTTGCCAGCTGCATGACAAATAAGTGCTGATGAGCCCTCTGTGATTTTTCCTGTACGCCAGCCGTGCACTTGCAAGACTCTGCTCTGAAGGAACTCAAGGATCAGGCTGTACACAAGCAAGCCCAAGTCCTACAGCCAAACCCTGAACCCTCCCTGGAGACCAAGCCTGCACGGGACTTTATGGAGCACCCTGGCAAGGATGACCCAAAGGCTCTTCCAGAAGGTTCTTCTCTTCCAGAAGGTTCTTCCAAGCCGAGGAGGGGCAGTGCCTCTGGGAGTGAGCCTCCTGGGGACAGTGAGCAGGGAGCGGGCCCTCTGGAGCATTTTCACCTCCACCTGTCTAGTTGCCACGAATGCTTAGAACTTGAGAATAGCACCATTGAGTCGGTCAAGTTTGCATCTGCAGAGAACATTCCAGACCTTCCCTATGATCATGGCAGCAGTTTGGAGGGTGTTGCCGATGAGATCTGCCCTAAAGAAGAAGGGAGGAGAGTCAACATCACGGGAAAGGCACCCAACATCCTTCTGTACGTAGGCCCCGACTCCCAGGAGGCCCTTGGGCGGCTTCAGCAGGTGCGGGCCATCCTGGCTGACTGTGTGGACGCCGACAGCTATGTTCTGTACCACCTGCAGGAGGAAAGTGTGCTCAGGGACCCATGGCCAGACAACTGTCTGTTGTTGGTCATTGCCACCAGGGAGCCCATCCCTGAAGACCTGTACCAGAAGTTCCTAGCCTATCTTTCTCAGGGAGGGAAGGTACTGGGCCTGTCTTCATCCTTCACGTTTGATGGCTTGCAGGTGACAAGCAAGGGTGTGCTGCAGAAGACAGTCCAGAGCCTGGTTTTCTCCAAGGCTGACCAGAGCGAGGTGAAGCTCAGCGTTCTGAGCAGTGGCTGTGTTTATGAGGAGGGCCCCGGGAAGCAGCTCAGCCCTGGAAAGCTCCAGGGCCACCTGGACAATGAGGACAAGGACAGGATGATCATGCAAGTGCCTTTTGGAACCTGCGGAGGGGAAGCCATTCTTTGCCAGGTACTGAGTTGGTGTGATGCTGTTGGGTGTCTTTGGGGAGGAGAATGCTCTTGAAGGCTGTATGTATATAGGTCTCAATGCCGTGTGCCGTGGTGCTGGGGACAGAGGCCAGGGCCTCACGTGAGCTAGGCAAGTGCTCCTCCGCTGAGCCTGCCTGGCCTACTGGGCACTTTTGACTCCAGCTGAGAGTTGTTCTGATGGTGAGGGGAAGTTTAGTTTGGTCCAGGGCTTTAGTGAAAACCCCGACGAGCCACGTGTCGTGAAGGAGGCAGGAGGCAGGAGGGCTGCTGGCTAAGCAAGCGTTAGCCCGGAAGTTCTTTCTTGTTCCCATCTTTACTGGTTGCAGTCTTTCTAAAACACGTTAGTCTAAAACACATTGCCTTCAAGTACACGCTGGGTAATATCAGGAGCCTTTATTTGATGTGGGAAGTTGGAAGACTCAGGGGTGGTGATTCTAGACATCAGTGACATCTTGTTAAAATATTGCAGTCAGTCGTGGAGGGAGTTAGGGTTAGAAACATCCTCCAATCCACAGTTCCTTTCTGTCACTCTTAAAACTAAGCGTTGAGGAAAACTTCCAAGTAAGAGGATGTGGAGCCGGGCCTGGTGGCGCATGTCCAGAGGCTTAGGAAGCTGAGGCAGGAGGATCACAAGTTCAAAGTCAGCCTCAGCAACTTAGTGAGGCCCTAAGCAACTCCCTGAGACCCTGTCTCAAAATAAAATATAAAAAGGGCTGGGGATGTCGCTCAGTGGTTAAGTGCCACTGGGTTCAATCCCCAGTACCAAAAAATAAAAAAATAAAAAAAAATAAGGTGGAAGTTGCGTAGATTTATAATGGCATACTCATATAGAGGTAAGGAGAAAACGGAAAAAGGACAAGAGAAATGCAGATTTCCTTCCCAAGCTTAGGAAGTCCTTGGACTCTTCTGCGGTTTCCCCTTTGGCTTTTTGTTGTTGGGGGCAAAGTCACAGACGAGATCAGCATCATTCATCATCTACTACAAATCCTGAACACTGAGTGCACAAGTTTTTAGAGGAATGCTCCCTCCTCAAGGCACCAGGATCTAAAGAGCTGAGGAGATGAAGGTGTTTTGCCCAGAAGGCTCCCAACGGTGGCCGTCCTGGATTTGGTTTTATTTATTGGGTTTGAGAATCGTTTACTTCCTCTGTTTCGTTTTCCTTTTGTAGGCCTTGTCTCTTTCCTGTCCCTCTGGAAGCTCCAATCCCCTGAGTTTTCTGAGCCGGTGCCCTTCCGGTGGGTCAGGTTGGTTTCTGTGCTATCCTAGAGCCCGCCCATCTTTTCTGATGAGAACTCGGACAGAGATGCTTAAGATTAAGAAATCCGAACATTGGTCCGGACGAATGTGTGTAATCCAAGTAGGTTTCCTGTAGGGCTGCAAGCCACCTGGGTTGGTTTTTGGAGTTCTAATAAATGTACCTCTTATCTTCTTCTCTGCAAATATGGTCACTATAGTAACTGTGCATTCTCAAAAAATCCACCTAAACACCCGACTTCTGAGAGCCATATTTCAGTTCTGAAGAGCGAATTTTACCGCCTCTGCATGCAGACTTGTAGTAGGAAATCGATTCGGCACTGTTGCGATCCACTTCTCCTAGTTACACAGACAATTTGTTGGCTGCACCATTTAAATTGACCCCATCGCTGTCGTAAAACTTGATACTGCAGTGCGTTGCCCGAGGACAAAAGGCAACATGATGCCGCTCCACACATCAGATTCCGAGGATTAGGATGCCATTTTTGATTTTAGATGACTTCCAGTCTTCTGTGTGACACGGTCCATGTTTCTTCCTCAGGCTGTGTCGCTATGACCCCTCAGCAGGATCAACCAGTAAATATTATAGTCTGGTCAGTTTCCTTTCTCTGTTCAGTTTCATCGTCTTCATCTCTGTGATTAATCTGGTGATGATGCAGCCCAGCATGAGGAGGAGAAGTACTGCAGGCAACACACAGCGGGCAGGCTGCCTGTTAGATGCCCGTTTGCTTTCAGTGATGCAGGAAAAAAGGACACATTTGGATGCTCGGGGTGCTGACCAAGTTTGCAGGGAAAATCTAAGGCCGTGGATTAAGGCTGTTGTTTGATTATCAAACGTATCAAGAGTTTGGCATGAAGTTGTTCAGATAAAGCTCAAAAATGGATCTAAAAAGGTTTTGTTTTGTTTTGGTACCAGGGATTGAACCCAGGGATTCTTAACCACTGAGCCACATCCCCAGCCCTTTTTAAAAAAATATTTTATTTAGAAACAGGGTCTTGCTCAGTTGCTTAGGGCCTCGCTAAATTGCTGAGGCTGACTTTGAACTTGTGATCCTCCTGCCTCAGCACCGAGCTGCTGGGGTTACAGGCATGGGCCACTGCGCCCAGCTAAGATTTTTTTGTTTTCTTATTGAGCTTTAACTCAGGGCAGGATTGGTTCTGCTTTTATAGTAGAGTTCCCAGCCATGGCTTCATCAACATTTGGGGCCTAATAACTCTTTGTGGGGAGGTATGGTCCCTGTGCATGTTAGGATGGTTGGCAGGATCCCTTGGCTCTGCCTACTAGAGGCCTTTAACCCCATTTGTAGCTGGAGATGTTCTAACTTTCAGTCCAATTGAAAAGCCTGATGTTTAGAAGCTGAGTTATGGAGATGGGCCTGTCTCTGTGGTAGTAATTTTATAAGCAGAGGGTGAGACTTAGGTTTGACACCGTGGAGAACCAGTTACACACCTGACACACATACCCATGGTGCTGTTCTGTCCCTTATTAACAGCACAGAGCCAGATGCAGCCTCTTTTCTCATGGCACCTAAACCTTTTCCTGAGGTGCAAAGGATTGAACCCAGGACCTGGTGCATGCCAGGAGGTGTCCTACCACTGACCTACACCCCAGTCCAGCATCTAGCATTTTTTTGTTTCTTTTAAAATTTTATTTTTGGTACCAGGGATTGAACCCAGGAGTGCTTACCACTGAGCTACAACTTCAGCCCTTTTTATTTTTTGAGACAGGGTCTTTAACTCAGGACAGGATTGGTTCTGCTTTTATAGCAGAGTTCCCAACCATGGCCCCCATCAGCACATTGCTTAGGGCCTTGCTAAGTTGTTGAGGCTGGCCTCGAACTTGTGATCCTCCTTCCTCAGCCTCCAGAGTTGCTGAGATTACAGGCATGTGCCACACAGGCCCAGCACCTAAAATCTTAAGATAGTAAGTAGAAGTGTTTTCCCCATTCAGTGGCTTGTCTCCTGGAACTCAGAGGCCTAATGGTGGCTCAGTGGATGGATTCCCCCTCGGTGTCCTTCTCATGTGAGGATGAGTTCAGCACGTTTCACTGCCCCAGCTTCTAGAATATTCTGTGTATTCACCCCATCCAGTGAATTCATGTGTGTTCACTCAGTGCCTCCCCCTCTCCCTGAGCTCTGGCGGGAACAGAACTGTGCTTGTTTTATTTCTCCTTCATTTTAACTCTGGGCATGTTAACCCCCAGGATGGCCACCTGCTCACTTGAAGGAAGTGTGTCGTCCACTGTGGTGCGGCTTGTCCACCAGCCTGGCTCTGTCCACTTGAGAGCAGAGGCCCATCTTGGGGCAAGGAGACAGGAGTACACAGATCCCACCCATGCTCCACTTTCTGCCTCCTCCCTGCCCAGGGCTGTCTGGAGGACAGGCGGGACCTGCTGCCCACTGACAGGCGTGCTCAGTCCGTGGGGGAAGCCCCAGCCACTGATGCCTAACTGGAGTGTGGGGACCATGTTGGACAGTGTTCCGCAAACCTTTTCAGATGTGGCCTCGACGTTAGCATCTGGACCATTGTAGACAATATATTGGGACAGACTATTTGGCTTGGTCAGAGCTCAGGTGGGAATCGAGAGTTGTGCAGGTACCCGAAGGCTGGCACCTTGCTGTTTATTTTCCTAATCTTCAGGTCAGAAGGTCTCCATACAGTGGACAAAAACCAAGTAAAGTGAACTAGTTCTGGTCACTTTGCTGGTATCCTGGCAGCTCTAGGTTTTAAAACACAACTAAAATCTGATCTCAGGGGAGCTGGAAGTTCCAGTGTGCAAGACAGAGGTTGGTGGATTTGATTTTCACTGAACAGCAGGTCTGGGTAAGCACGTGAGGCTCTGAGTCTTAGAATTGCACCAGGTCCAGGAGGACAGTGGGGGAGGCCTGTGTGGGGGGCCAGGAGGCCCCCTGTGTTTCAGTTCCTACAGATGCTCCCCATGCTGTCCTCCAGGGGTTGCTTCCCAGTTGGACTGACGGACAGGGTGGAAGTGCTCAGCTTGGCCCTCTGCCTCTCTGCGTGAGCTCAGTAGCACCTTGTTTAGGCGCTCAGCACAAGCATACTGCAGGTGACTTAGGCTTGCAACCAACTTAAAGTGACTTGCCCAAGGTCACACAGCTGGTGATAAAAATCAACCTGTAAAGAGTTTGATAACCCCTCAGGGTTGACTCTACCCAACTTCTCAGCCTGGCAGCAACAAGTGCAAGAGGCCCTCCAGGGCCCAGTGTGGTAGCACACACCTGTGATCTCAGCAACTTAGGAGGCTGAGGCAGGAGGATCACAAGTTCATGGCCAGCCTGGGCAACTCAGGATGTTAACCCCCAGAATGGCCACCAAAATAAAAATTGAAGATGCTTGGGGAAGTAGCTCAGTGGTGGAAGTAGTTCAGTCCCCAGTAACACCACCACCACCACCAACAACAACAACGTTTTTATTGCCATTACTTTTCAGATATTCAGGTCCTGAGTTTATATTGCTGTTTGTGAGGAGAGGGATTCACACTTACTTTTAGAAAACCCGTTGAAGAAGCTCTCTGAGACTGTAAGTGGCTTGATTTAACAAGTGTTGTCTTTTTGTCCAGGTGCACTTAGAACTACCTCCCAGCTCCTTCATGGTGCAGACCCAAGAAGACTTCGACCTGCTGAAATCCAGCAACATGAGAAGATACGAAGTCCTCCAGGAGATCCTCTCGGCCCTGGGTGTCAGCTGTGACCTGCGAGAAGCTCCTGCCTTAACGCCCCTGTACCTGCTATTGGCTTCGGGGGTGAGTACCTCATACCCCACTCTGTGGCTGTTTCCATTGGCTTTGATGTTGATTTTTATTGTGATTTTCCATTTCTGCTTTGACTTTGAGTTTAGGAACCCTCTTACTGATGTGCGGGTGTCTCTGACTTGTTTTGGTGTGCGTAGGTAAGGGAGGTGGAGAAGACTGGAATTCAGGAGGTGTCAGGTCTGCAGGTTATGACCCGTTTTAGGGGGAGGATCCCTGTTGTGTGTGTTGAGAGTGAACAGTGCCCCTCCACATCTGTGGGCTCTGCATCTGAGGGTATAGCCAACCAACTGCAAAAGATAGTGGAGAAATTAATTGTCTCTACTGAGCACGTGCAGACTTCTCTCCTGTCCTCACTCCCTAGACAACACAGTGTGATACTACTCACACAGCACTCACGTTGTGGGAGGTGTGACAGGTCATCTGGAGATAATTTAGGGGATTCAGAGGATATGTGTAGGTTAAATGCAAATACTCTGCCCTTTGCTATGAGGGACCTGGGCACCTGTGGACCTCAGTGTGCATTGGAAGGCAATGCTGGACCCAGTCCCTCATGGATCCCGAGGGATGGCTCCATAATTGTTAGGGATCAAAATGAGTTATTTTGTTCTGGGCCTTCCTTTGGATGAGAAAGTCTCAGCTTCCCTGTGTTTTGCAGACGTCTGCCATCTTGTGGCAGAAGTGCTCTGGATCTCCATCCCTGTCACTTGTGTCTAGAAGGAAAATGCCCTGAGCTGGGGATGTGTTTGGGGATTCTCTGGCCTCGGGTCTGCATTTGCTGCCTGTTGTTGAAGCCGGGTTTCGGGCAGGCCGCCAAATTCTACAGGTGTGTGTTCCTGCTAATCCCCTCACGTGGCCCTGCCTGTCAGTTTCTTATTCCTAGTGACAATCTGATTATCTTGGGGGTGTCTCTCCATTGTCTCCCCTTAACAGGCGGATCTGAGTTTAGTGATGTAACATGTAGTTTCAGAAAATACCCTGCTGCCCAAGTGATGTACACACCGGGTTCTCCTGCCCTTCCTTGAGAAGAACAAAACATACCCTTCGCCCCAACAGAGGGGCTAGAGAGGGCACTGTCTTCCTGACCGCTCGGGTCCTTGGCAAGCTGAATTTACAGAGGGATGCCATCTGCTCCTTGGAGAAGACAGATGTCTAACCCGAGAGCTGCCTCTCGCAGGATTCTGTTCTGAGGACAGAGTGAAATAATATCTGTGGAAGTTCTATGTGAATTATTATTAAATAACAGCTTATTATAATAATATAATATCATAACAACAATTTATTTTAATAAAATACAATTATGTACTATATGATTATATATAATATGCATTATGTATGATATAAAGAATTATTATTTAAATAACAATGTAATAATGAGTATTATAGGTTGTTGGGAGGTTGAATGAGTTAAAGTTTAGAATGTGCTTGACCAGTGCCTGGCACCTAGTCTAGAAAAACCAAAGGTAATGAGTTTAATTTTAAAAATTAATAGTACAGCAACGAGGGCTGGGGTTGTGGCTCAGTGAAGGAGAGCTTGTCTGGCATATGCGAGGCCCTGGGTTCAGTTCTCAGCATTGCATATAAATAAATAAGGGTCCATTGACAACTAAAATAATATTTTTTAAAATGCAGCAGTGGATTGTTTCTTGTTTGAGAAACATGCTCTTGCTGTGTTTTCCTCACCCAGCTCTTGACAGCTTGCCCTGCTCCTGATGTATGCTCTGGGGAGTTATGGTGTGGCTTTTGTTTGTACCTTCATCTCAGGAACTCAGAATTCCCCGTCTTTCATCTGTTTCATGCATTCAGATACTAGAAGGAAAAGCACCACTCTGTTGTACAGAAACACCACAATAAAGCCATCTGCGGCATTTCGGGTCCTGTAGACAAGCCCCTTGGAGGAGGGGCCAGGCCCTGTGGGTGAGGACTGTGGGTCCTGGGGGAGTGTGACATCATGGTCCTGAAGCTTCTCCCTCCTTTCCTGAGCTGGACTGGACGGGGAGGGAGTGCCTGTCTGCTCCGAGGCTCCCCCCCACGTGGACCAGGCTGGCCTTGGTAATGCTCCCTCACTTTTCCTGGGAGCTCTGACCATGGTGGACTCGGGACTGGGACCTTGGGACTCTTGGACTGAGAACAGAGAGGAAAGAGTGGCCTGTGAGCAGACTTTTGGAACACTGGTCTTTTCTGGTATATATATATATATATATATATATATATATATATATATATATATTTAAGTTGTAGGTGGACACAATACCTTTATTTTATTTTTATGTGGTACTGAGGATTAAACCCAGTGCCCCACGCATGCTAGGCGAGCACTCTATCTTTGAGTCACAACCTCAGCCCATTCTGGTGTATTCTTTAGGTGGGCATAACGGAAATACCCAAGCTGAAACTTTGTGTTATGCGTCTACTTACCTTAAAACATATTTTTGTCTTTCCAGTTATTTAAACTGCCTGGGGCAGCAGGTGTGGGAAAAAATTTTCCCCTATTATTGATCAATTGGGGGAATATTGATTCGCCCTTCATAAACCAGGCGAGGCTGGTTAAAGCAAGCGTTGCTCTGTGGACACACAAATGCTCCCTACCAGCCCCACCTTACATACCAGCCTCAGAAATGTTGGGTCCTGCTTTGGTCTTCTTGGGTGTCTCTGCTGTGGACTGCTTTTTTCTCCTACTTGCTCATTTCTGGCTGCACTCCGTGAAGGAACAGTGTGTGTGTGTGTGTGTGTGTGTGTGTGTGTGTATACGCATGTATGCACACACTTGAACATATTTTTATTTTTGCTATACTAGGATTGCATGCCAGGCAAGTGCTCTTCCCTTGAACTAAGCCCCGAGACTATATCCATTCCTTAGTATTTATCAACTTCTCTTAAAAGACCTTGAATCTACTAAGAAGGACATTGTCAGAAGTTTAATATTATTTTCCAATGAATTTGAAAATAGATAAACTGAGATGGCCTTTCTGGAGGTGACCAGATGGTTGCTCTTGCTGTGGTTGTCCTGATGTCACTGAGGCTGAGACAGAGACACCTGAGTACCTAGTCTCGTGCTGCTGGATTCATATTTACAGACACAGACCCAAGAGTTGGGAATACAAGTGGGTTGTCCTTTAGCTTTCTTTCCTGTGGCCTTAATAGATCACATTGACGCCTGTGGGATTACGTTACATAAAGGGATGTTGGCACTGCCAACTGCTGGAATCACCTGTCCTAGAACTTCGATGTCTCAGGGTTTTGTTTCCTACTTCCTGGAAAATACTCTGCTGCTGTAAGCCAAGCTCCCACCACAGGGTGTCGCTGCTGAGCTAGGCTGCCTGCATATGGGCCCCTAGAACCACAAAGTAGTTCTTGAGAAATTTTTTTTTTCTCTCTTTATCAATGTCACCTAGTATAATTTAGAAGTTTTGCATTATTTTGGTGGCACGTTCTTTTAGGCCTGTAGAAATTATCTTAGTGTCATAGCTCATAATGACTTTGAGTTAGCATTTACCGTATACTAGGTCCTATTATTATAAAGAATATGAAAACAAAATGCATGCAGGAGTTACTTGAATAGTTTTACTGATCCCCAGCGAGTTGATACAGTTTGGTGCCCTCACCCTGCTCTTGACAGCGAGTGGCACAGAAGATCTATGAAGCCCCTGTGTGCTTCTATGTTACTGTGATTCAATGGAGAAGAATGGGGGAGTTCCACACAGGAGAAGCCCACCTGGCGGACATCGACCCACGTGATAGGGGTGTGTTCTGAGGCTCCACGCCACCCAGACTCCACAGCAAGTGTGAGACTCCTACTGGAACATCCCGCCACGTGTGTCTTCATGAGCGTCCCCTGCACAAGAAGCACAGGCAAGGCTGTGCCGTGGTGCGCCTCTGGGGGGCAGCTGGGCTTCCCTCTGACCAGAACCCCTCTTGTAATTCAGCCTCCCAGGGGCAGGGTCAAAATCTGGGCTTCAGCAGAGTTCTAGTACGTTAAACCATGAAGCCCACACCTCTGTCCACAGAATCAAGACTGGAAGGAAGTGTAGTACACTCACGTCTGTCTGTCTGTCTCTGTATTTCCCTGTCTACGTGTGTGTCCATGTATATATGTGTGGAGTAAAGTCTGATGGTGGGCTTGTGAGTGATTTTAATAGTCTTTTAAAACTTTCTGTTTTCCAAATTAGTACAATGGATGGATGTTACTTTTTATAATGAGCAAACCAGTTATTAAAAACTAAAAAACAAATTAGTGTATGTCATTGAACTTGGGAGTTGCCCCATATATGGATAAAACTTGAATGTTAAAAGGTCAAGTGTCTTGCGTAGATATTGATACTTAGTGGATATTTGGCATCTGTTTAGTTATTTAAAAGGCTCAGCTTTGCTAGTAAATCACTCGACTCTGGTAAGTGGTGTGACCGATCAGGAGCTCTCGAGTTGGCGTGCGGTGCCTCGGGGAAGGTGCTTCTCGTGTTAGCTCCCAGTTTCAGTGCTAGCCCTGCTTGGCTGTCCCGTTTCTTGGGAGGGCTCTCTGGACATGACATGCTGCCCGCGGCTTCCTTTTTGCAGGTGTGGGTGGACTGAGAGACTGAGCCGACCTGTCGATGGGGGTGTTGTGAAGTGATCTTGCATGGCGGCCTCCATGCGGGTGGGGACTTTGCTGTGAGGAAGCGTGGTCGTGTTTATGGGAAACACTGATTTTGTAGGAAAAAACCCACAATTCTTTGATGTGTCATAGGATGATTTTAATAGATTTATTTTGTATAAAATTTGATTTTATAGATAATACAATTCTTCCCCATTTTAGAATCTAGCTGTCTTGTTTCTGGTCTCTGGTTCCATTTCCAGTTAATCTCTGCCAGAGTCAGGACAAAGGGGAAGAGGTCGTGCTACCCAGCCAGAGGGGTTCCTGTGGCAAGGCCAAGTGACGGGGACCTGTGGGATCCTGAATCCTTGCATGGGGACAGAGCCAGACCCCCACCTCCACTCCTGCAGCATCACCTGCCAGT